CATTGGGGGGGGAAAGGGGACATCTGTAATATTTTCAACAATAAAGATTAAGAAAAAAACTGCTGCAGAAAGTCACACCACGAGCAACAGAACCAATTATCTCCCACAATGCGGTGTGATTGCTGTAGATATGTAAGATTTATTTATGTCCATGAAATTTCTACAGTGTTTTTTTTCCAACATATGACCTAGTCACTAAATTTGTTAAAAACAACAGTGAATTAATAACAAAAAATAACTTGTTAATTTAATTATAAGCAAATCTTGGTTAAAAGCATTTTAAAATTAGCAGGGTGTTAATTTTCACATTTGACATAGGACTGGAAATTTTGTCCGTTAAATCCTGTCTGCTCAATCGAGGTCTGTAAAATCAAGGGTTTACTGTACATTAGACCTCAGGCTCTCATATGTAAGAGGCAGTCAGTAGTGTATTAATCTAGCACTGGGCTAAATTATACAAGAAATCTTTTCCCCCTTGGCTATTTATTCTAGGCGTCTAGAATGAGTCTAGGTTTTTGGGTAAAGGATCTTTCTCAGCAGAGTTTTTACCCTGACAAGTGTTTGATTCAGCACCTAACTTTATACAGAGCAGTGAATTAACTTTGAGAAAAAACAGTGCTATTGGAGCCTCAGAGGTAGGGGGAGAGATGCCAACTGTCACCTGTTTACTATAAGTACCTTTGCAGAAAGAATACAGTATATGAAACTGCATTTTATGACGGCTATAAAGAGACCTCTGGTTATCAATCCCACTGGGGATTAATAATATGTGAAAAAATCCAAGGAAAGATAGAAGAACAGATCTGAATCCTACTCAACACTGAATAAGCAGTCATGCTGCCTTACCAATCTTTTTGATCAGTTTTCCTAACAATGCCCAACCCCCCAGTTACGCTGGCAGAGTCAGAATCACCCCACAAACCCTTGCAACTTACTAATAAATGGAGAGTTAAAAGTTCTGAGAAAAATGAAATGATCAGAAACATTTTGGGCAATTTTTAAGTGACATGCATCACCAAATGTAGAGTCAACCCATACTAGTGAAATCCATTCCTTTCAAATGTAGGATTGCTGTATCTCTTGGATGAGCCCAGAAAATAGGGGGAAAAGTCCAAGGAAAAATAGAGAACAGATTTGAATCAGACTATTCGAAGAAGAGAATCTTTTGGATTAAAATATCAATTTATGGACACCTTCCAAAACCTAGTCCTCTAAGGTCACAGGGCCACTAGGAAGGTCCTGTTTGATATGGGCATCTCAACAGTAAGTTTCTTTCGAGAGTCAGTCACTGGAATGGCCTCAGGCCACATAACTCTGCTGGTCAAGCAAGAGGAAGTAGAAGAGCAGTGAGGGCAGTGGATGCCTGAGGGGTGGCTGGTCCAGGCCTGTGCTGGGGTCACACACTGGTACAGCTATTCTCCCAAATCCCAGGGTCGAAGACAGAAGTGGGTGGCCCAAGGGAAGCCTAGCTGGGCAGAGTTACAGCCCACCAGCCTGTGGGGGTGGGGTGGGTCCTGCAAGTTCAAGGTATATTCAGTTGGGCTGATTTTCTGATCTCAGGGCCACAGCCAAGCTACCGACACTGGTGAATAAGTGAGAAATGGTCCTCTCACCTGGGGCATGGGCTTGGTGAGCCCAGTTCCACCGGGACAGTTCCTGCTGCAAAGAACCATGTCTGGGCAAAAGTGTGTTTTCCCAGTCTGTGGAGTTGGGGCTAAGGTGCCAGGTGGTGGGCTGCAGCAAGCCGCCTTAGTTAATCCAGGAAGGCGAGAATCTGGTTAGGAGACACTGGCTGCCCTGCTTTTCCTGCAGAAGGGAGCTCTCTCTGTAAAGGACTTACTGTTCACAGTGTAAAAGGTAGCCTTGCCTGGCCAGTGTGGTTCAGTGGTTGAGCGTTGCCCCACGAACCTGGAAGTCACGGTCCGATTCCCGGTCAGGGCACAGGCCTGGGTTGTGGGCTCCATCCCCAGTAGGCGGTGTGCAGGAGGCAGCCGATCAATGACTCTCTCTCATCATTGATGTTTCTATCTCTCTCTCCCTCTCCCTTCCTCTCTGAAATCAATAAAAACATATTAATAAAATAAAAAAATAAAAGGCAGCCTTATTTTTCTTTTTAACAGTGCAGAGCTGTTTATACCACACAATAAAACGCAACATAAGCAAGGACATTGATAAAAATATTTTATGTTAGTAGGCCCAAAGCTGCAAGACTCTATGAATGTTGAAATAAAAGTGAAGAAATATACATACACTTGGTATGGGAATGACCTGCCTCTGGTCACCCTGAGGAAAAAGAAAAAAAAAAAAGTCATTGTCAGGTTTGAAGAGAAGAACATATACTCTAAAAAAACTGCAAAGCACTTGTAAGTATATAGCAGGCATATAATTCCCGTTCTCTGTACCCTGGTGGTCTTTAATAGACACGAGGAACCCTGAGATTTTCCAGTCAGGGCCCTGCGCTCCACCATTCCTCCCAGACGCCCCCTCCCCTGACCATCCAGGCTGGGTTCCTGAGGCTCATTAATCATCTTGTTTATTTGAATAGTGCCTCCCTTACTTCCAGAAATTTAATCCTTAATTAAAAATTAAAAATGAAACCCCATACTCTACTTTGATCCATGACTCCCTCTAATAACTGGCTCGTTTCTCCTTTTAAGTAAGTTTTCCCTAAGAAGACTAAGACTTAAGTCTATACAAATAGGCAGGGGAAGGAAGACCAGTTTGTCAGATTACCAGGAGCTCCCTGGCCACTCGTGGTCCTCTTCCAGGGAGGACCGGGCAGAGGGGATGAGGCGAGGAACAAGAAATGCCCTTTGAGGCCACAGACGTGGGACAGCTTTCCCTTTAAGGGGCACAGAACCTGTATTCACAGGGAGTGTTAAGAAAATTCAGGTCCCAAGGAAGAGCATCAATCATTTCCTCAGCCTTGAATGCCCATCAATGCCCATTGTTCCAAACATGGTTGATGGAAACACTTCCTTTTGGCATCACTAAGAAATGCTAATAAAAGAACACATTTCTCTCCATTGAGCATTTCCACTTTCTGTGCGTCTTCCGTTTTAGATGGTGGGATGGGAGGCGACAGATAGCAGCATGGCTCCTGATAAGGGCGTGCTCCATTTCATGGTCTCCCACACTAAGCGATTCGTGAAAAGTGTAACCATCTTTTATTAAGGGGGGTTTGGTGACGGTTCTCACGGAAAGGGGCCAAACCTGAATATGGATAGTGGCAGATGGCTGGCACCTTTCTGAGCTCTGCTCTGACTCCAAGAACCATTTAGCAGCTTCTTGATTGTCTCCAGACCCCAGTTGTCCCCTCTGCGGTGTAACAGCAACTATTATTTCCTCTTGAGATAATCTTGATGGCTCCTTCCTTTTTTCGGGACACTCGGGGCTCGTCGTAAGGATTCTAAACGGTCTCTTGCTATTATTACTCAAGGTAGAGCTGTGCTGCTCTTCAACACGTTGGCACCATCGAATCAAATCTCAATTTTCAAGAATTTATATAGAGGAGTCCATTTCAGAAGCTCTTAAATGATACTGTTCCCAGCATCTGGACCTGGGAGATTTTAACCAGACGCTCACAAGCCCTCACACGTTGGGTCACTGTGGAGGAGGGTTTCTCAACCCCAGCACTGCTGACATTCTGGGCCTGGGAACTCTGCCATGGGGGGAGGGGGAGCCTGTCTTGGATATTGTGGGATGTTTAACAGCACCCCTGGCCTCTACCCACTAGATACCAGTAGGACCTCCAGGAGTGACCATCGCAAATGCCCTCAGATGTTGCCAAATGTTCCGCAGGGGGCAAAACTGCCTTCAGTTGAGAACACTGCACTAGCGGGACACTGCACACAGCTCCCCGCACAGCTACATCTTCAATGAGATGAGTGCCTCAGTGACGAGACAGGTAGCAGCGACATCTGAAGGGCTCGACCAAACCCACACTGGGACCAAAGGTGCTATTCTAGACAGATATTTGGGCTTGAAAATTACCCCCGTTTACATGTATGTGTGTGCGCGTGCACACGGGGTATTCACGTAACAGTGAGTGTCCAGAAACCTTGTTCACTCTGTCCTCGCCCTTAGAAGTCCCTCCTCGGTCTCTGCCACTGGGGTCCTCTAGATGCTGACTCCTCCCAGCCTCTGGCCAGGGGCTGCACACATTTATTTTGGGCAACCAGCCTGCAGGCCCAGGGTGTAACTGGATGGTGGCAATGGCTGCCACCCCAGGCCACTCCTGCCGAAGCATTTCTCCAGGCCTAAGTACACGCGGGTGGATGGAACCCCAGGGGCCATCTATGGCGTCCTGTCCACAGCCTTGCGTCTCCCTCTGGCATGCTGAGCTCCAAGAGCAGGGAGAGCTGAGGAGTCGGCAGAAGAGACAGGCCTAGAATCTGCTTCCACATCGAACGGGCCTGGGCTTTGTGTCCCAGGTGTCCTGAGCAAGCGGAGAGCAAAGGGCAGAGGGGCCTCCCTGGGAATTAGCTGGTCCACTTGGGCATGGGCTCTTTCTAAGGGGTCTGGTCTCACAGATGGAAGAGTGGAGTGTTATGCAAATGATGTATTACTCAGAGTTAACTTCATTCTTGAAAAGGCCATTCTGACAAATGTTAACTGGGGGAAGTCCATGAATGAACACTAAGTCCAGGTGAGCTCAGCTCTGCCAGAGAACTGTCTTTCTGTCTTTAAAGGCCTTTACTTGCTGCTGACACACACAGCTAAATACTCTGGGAAGCCTTCCAGGGATGCAACACCATTTTTCCATGTCATTGCCTCTCGGCAGAAACTATTTTAAAATAACTTTTACTATGACAGCAGTGATTCTTCTCTTTTTCAAATTCTCTACAGGTCTACAGCACAAACTGTTTTCCCTTCACTAATGGCTATTTTCCAACAGCAATGATTTTTAAATTGGGGGAGGGAGAGTATAAGGAAAGCATACTGAGGATATCATATCAGAATCTGGAGCTGCAGTATGGTTTACAGTGGAATGTCGCCACTCAAATTTCACTGATATATTTTTCTACACCAGTGGAGAGTAGGTTTAATAACTGTTAAGGCAAGTCATCTTTCATTATCCCCCCCTCAAATTTCTCAGCTATTCTTAGACATTTTTCTTCTCTATACATTTTAAGTCTTCCTATCCGGAAACACAGCACATTTCTCCATAAATAAGAGCTGCCATATCGAAATTTCTTAATGATTCTAACTTTTTTGTAGTGTTTTGGGTTTTCTATATAAATAATCATGTCACCTGCAAATAAAACTAATTTTGTATCTTTCCCATATTTGTACCAGTTGTTTTATTTTCTTGTCTTATTACATCAGCCAGATACTGCCAATGATTTTCCTATGTTGTTTACTGTTTATTTTTAGAAGACAGCTTTTTATCATGTTTAAATGCCTTTCTTCTATGTATTTGGCTATACTATTGATTGGCATATAAAGGTTTATGGCTATTATTTACTTCATGTATTAGACCTTTTATCATTATAAAATGTCCTGCCCTCTCCTGTTTAATGCTTTTGGCCTTAAATTCTGTTTTGTCTGATATTCACACCGCCACTTTTGCTTTTTATTTGATCTGCTCTGTACGTTTTACCCATCTCTTTATTTCCCACCTTAAAAAAAAAAATCACTGTATGTTAGATACTGGGTCAAAAACTATTCTGTAATATTAGCACAGTTTACCAATTAATTCCAGTTTTCTTTATGGCCACATGGTAGGATTACATTTCTATGCCCTTTGAATTGCCTTGGCCAATAAAAAGTAAGTTGAAACGAGGCATGTTACTTTTTTTCCCCTCCTAATAACGGCATAACAAACATTTATTGTATCTTGTTTTATTGTTAAAGTAATTGGCTTAAGGTCACATGAGAAGTAACTGGTATGGCCAGGACACAAGCTGAGCCCCACATTCTTGGCCCCCACATTATTCTGTCTTAGCTCAGTGTTTAACCCACAGGAACGAGGCATCTTACGTCTGAGTGGAAACTCGAAGAGCCAGCGTGACCACCACATTCCCTCTTCCGTGCTGTGACAATCATGGAAGCAGAGATGGGCCTTTCTCAGTCTAGGTCCATGAGTGAGCATAAGACAGAGTTATACAATCTAATAATGATAGTTATTAGTCACATGAGACTATTGTAAAATGTGGCTAGTCCAAATCAAGATGTGTTATAAATGTAAAACACACCAGATTTTGAAGAATTATAAGATAAAAAAATGTCAATTTTATCTCATTGATAATTTTTTCAATTGATTACATGTTGGAACAATATTTTGGATATACTGGATTAAATAAAATATATTATTAAAATGAATTTGCCTTAAAACTATTTTAAAAAATGGGGCTACTAGAAAAGCTTAAGTCGTATGTGGCTCGCATTATACTTCTATTGAACTGTGCCACAGAGCAGAAGGCCCAGCCAACCCATGACAAACATGCAGCAGGAGTGAAAAATAAATACTTTATTATTTTAAGTCTCTGGGGCTTCGGGGGATGTTACTGATGCAGCATAACTAAACCCTGGCTGACTAGTAAGTACATCTGCTCAGTAGTCACTCCTCTTTTTTGTGAAAAGGGCTCGGATTTTGTCTCAATTCTTCCCCTTTCGGGCCTCCCTTGCTGCTGGAGGGTAGCCATGTGACAAAGTTCTGGCCAATGAGACCTAAGCAGGAGTCTCTTGGGGTTTTCTGTGAAAGCCGTTACTCTCCATAAAAGGGACAGACATGGCTAGGCTCCTCCTCCATCTGTGTTTCCCTTCAGTGTGGACATGAAGGCTGAGGCTTGTGATTTTGAGATAATCAACCACAAGCCCGAGGATAAAGGCAAACATGCCGAGGACGCTGGAACAGAAAGATGAAAAGACAAAAGAACAGAAAGAGTCAGGGTCCCTGATGGCCTCATCAGGCACCTGAACTAATCCCAACAATGACCAATCTCAGGCTTTTTATC